TCTACTACTTCTTTCATCCGGTTCAGCAACACTCTGTTGATGACTTTCCCTGGTATTGACAATGGTGTAATGCCTCTGTAGTTTTCACATTTACTCAGTTATCCTTTCTTTGGAATCTTGGTGAGGTGTCCTTCTTTCTAATCCGTCTGCACTTGTTTCTCCATTCAAGTCTTCTTGAAGAGAACGTGGAGCATGTTTGTAGTTCCTCCGATGCCCGACTTTAGTGCTTCAGCCGGCATATTGTCAGGTCCTGCTGCTTTCCTGCTCTTGATTTGTCTGATGGCTATCCTGATTTCTTCCACCTTTGGTGGAGTGACATCTCACATTTTCCATTGTCCAGAGAAGACTTGTTAAACCTTTGTAATGCTGTTTCCCCAGTTTTCTAGTGTTTCTTCAGCCCCAGTTTCATCTTGACCATCATCAGGTGATGATCTGAAGCTATATCAAATCTTCCTCAGGTTCTCACGTTTTCCATTGTTCTTTAAAATTTTTTATTCATGCAGATATGATCTATTTCGTTCTACGTGGTGTAGTCCGGTGAGATACATATAGCCTTATGTATACGTTTGTGTAGGAGTAGTATACTGTATAACACCAATTTGTTAAATGCACATAGATTTGCGAATCCTTCCCATTTCCGTTTTTCTCTCACAGTCCATGTCTCCCCATGATATCTTCATACCTGATGTTGTCGATTCGAATTTGGCGCTGAGATCTCTTGTCAGAATGGTGAAATGCTTCCAGGGACACTTCACTATGATCTTTGTCGTCGTCATTGCTATCATTTATGGGTGCATAACATTGGAAAATATTCACTGTCATTCCCTTATTCTTTGTTTCGGATGGTTCTTTGTTGTTTCTGGATCTGTGAGATTCACATCCTAATTTCACATCTAATTCCCAGGGCAGAGCCTAAATGGTTTGAGTTAACTTTTTTCTGTTTGACGTTTGTTTGGCGAGTTAGGTTTCTACAAAATGGAGTAGCAAACACCATGCTCAATCTTCTTCCTTTATCCGGGCTTTTGACCGGCAGTAACTCTGCAAGAGCTTTAAGTGCGTTTAACTAGCGTAGAAGATAAGTAGAGTTCTAACAGATGCGATGATTACATAAAATATTCAACTAAGTAATAACTTTAATGCTATTACTCAGTTATTAAATTTTTTGATACACCATAAACCCACTGTGACTAGCAGTGCATCTCTAGTGTTGTTGGAATATCGTCACCACACGAGAGACGTCTACTAGTATTGTATTTTGTAACACTGTTAAGTATGGAAACATGTTCGAATAATTGTTAGAGAAATCGAATACTACGAGATATGAAAACATGCTGGTGAAGAAAATGGCATCTATGATATATCGTTTAATATTTACGTGATTCGTCGTAATTAATTAAATGCCAGGTACTGAACAAGTTAGTATTTCTCTTTTATGCTGTAGAAACAGAAGTGACCGAATCAACGTACCTACGGACGTCGATTCCATAAGGAAGGAAATGTAACAACTCACGCCGATTATTCATGAGCTGACCTCAAGCAACTATGTCTATGTCAAAACAATGGAGCTAAGATTTTAATTAACTTCTTAATTTTGCTTACGCATTATACCTCCTACGATCTTATATTGAGTGTTGAAAAGCTTTTTGTGAATTCACACCTCACTGCTTGTTTACTCACAAGCCAAATGTGGACCTATCCACTACTAGTTTGATTTCCGCTATCAATAGAAGGAGGGTTACCTACCTGTATGAAAATATCACTGAATTCACAGAAGCGAAGCCTTCATGACTCAACGTTGTTTAATTGTGGCATAAAATACTTATCGTCAGCGATAGGTTTCGTTATCATGGCTGACTTGATAATTTCGAATAAATTCAAATGACTACGCACACTGGTCTGTTTTGCTCATCACAAAGCGTTGGACACTTTCTACCGTGTGAAACGGGAATTTCAAAACAGCGACGCCCTTAATTTCTGCATCCATTTCAGAACATCATCTGATTCATTATACTTTGGAAATGAAATGTGTTTACTATAGTGGTTATAGCAAATATTGAATTGATGACAATGACTGCTCTCTGCATATCTGAAGGGTTGCATATTCACAAGTCAAATAGTAGAGAAATTTTCATGTGTACTTGAGTAATATAATAAATTGTGTTATTCTAACCACGTCTTCGTTTATAACAGATGTAGTATTTTTGTTTTTGGTAATAGTAGAAATCCCAGTAATGGTTCAATTGTGTAGGTAATATACGTCATAGTACTACTATCAGGCTTTTAATAATTTAGAGTAGTGGTGTCTATATTGTTGGTAGTTTCATGAGTAGTGGTAGTTTTATTTGAGGTGAAAATGCTATTCAGAGCAGTATTACTATGAATAGTGTTAAAATTTGCGGTTGTAATAATAACAGCTTTAGACATTTTAGTTACAGTAGAGGCAGTTTTCATTTAGGTATTATTGTTAAAGTTGTAGAAATATTAATACTATTAGTGGTGTTATATGATCAATAGTAATAGTAGCACAGTTTATAGTTTCCGAGTTATTAGTGGCGTTAATTGTGTTACTAGTTTTATCAGTGCTTATAGTGATATGAGAGTAAGCTGTAATGAAAGCCATGTAACAAGCACAAACATCATGGAAGTTGACGTGTGACGAAGAAATACTGTTAGTAAATTATGTCGTTCACAATCCTCGACAACATGTAACACGTGTGCAAGAACCCTAAGCCTGACTCCTTGACCATCCCGCCAATCCATGGCGTGAGATTAGATGATGTGCGTTGGTTGTTCTTGACCCTGACGAGGATCAGCGAACTGTTAGACATTCAATGACCCAACTGCCGAATGATTTGGTTAAAACTCAGCTTCATTTCACTGGCCCTTCGAGACTCCCCTACCAGATTCAACGATCGTTTGAGTTGGTTCAAAGATGATGGAAGCAGTTGTTCACTGAAGCTCGCCAAACGATCAGTATGAAAATAAAGTGGTGGGAAATGACCGGAAATAACGAGTAATAATAAATCAGTGCAGAGCTGTTAACCATAGAAATATGAGAGAAGCACAGCGTTTTGAAGCCCTATCAATTCGCGTTGAAATAGATAACTTTCACAAGTGACTTATGTTCTCAGATAACCAACGTTCATTTTGCCGTAACACCGATGATATTCTAGTGCAAGTACGGTAAGTGTATTATCATTCGATGTCCATATTTGCAGTCATTTATTAAAAGCACAAAAATCAGACAGTGTCGTTGACAGCTTCTATTCGTAAGTGCGCAATTCTAGTTATATCTATATTTAACAAACTAACTGTAAGCACAGAAGTATGACCGTGGACAGAAATCGTGATTTCGTTGTGCAAAGCTATTGATCAATTTGTAGTCAGAGTTTGAAAAGCCGATGACTTCTGTGAAAATTAGTAAGGGTTGAAGACTACAGATCAAGAGCGCAGAAGGCATGATGAAGTCTCTAAAAGCTCATAAGAGGTGAGTGCTGCATGTTTGTTCGATAAGTGAACCAAAAAATATTGAAAACGACAAAAGAAACCAAAAGTGTTACTCTGGGCTCATGTGTTATATTGGTGAAAAACACTGTCAATGTTGGATAGAGGCGACAATGCCACTTTCACTTTGCAAGGGATTCGATCGACTTCATAAACTGATTATTCGCATGAATCATTATGTCATCAGACCACTAATTGAACTAGACAGATTTCGAATCGGTACATCGGCTGATCAATCTAATCTGGGTAGCGGTCATAGATGTGAAGGATGGTGTACCCACTCGTGACCTAGTGCGGATGCATGAGTGAACGCCTTCAGATAGGTGAGTACATTGAAACTAATGCAGTCAGCATCCGATGTTGTAGACTCACAGAGCTACTAAGTCTGGGGATATTTTATCGCTACAGATGGATTTAAAATGAGTAGTTGATCTTGTCTTGTTTATACAAGTGGATCAGTTACAAACAAATGAGGGTTCGTGATGCCTTGTGGCTATACTCACGAGTGGTTCATATTTTAACAGACATATTACACAGGAGCATTTACATGCTGCTCACGATGTTAAAAAACAGCGAAAGCCGATTATAACCGTAGTTGATTGGTTAGTTCTATCGATTGAAGTAATCAGTCAAGTTTAAATACTAATCAACATTGATATAAAGCAGCGAATTTTTACAGTAACTGGTGAACTTAGGCCACGATAAAGATGAAAAACAATGCAATAATAGAGATTATAATGTTAGTCTGAGATATTCGAAGTCTTGATCACCAACGTAGATCACTAACGTAGATGATCTACGTTGAATGACTGGGAGCCTACGCTAGTTAGATGGGGATGGTGTGATAAACGGCTAACTTTCAAGTCACACATCGAGGTCAGTACCTAACTTGGATAACTTCTTCATCTTATCAATGCACCATGAATGCTTTGACAACCGTACAAAAGAGAGGACGTTATCGCATAAATATATTAGTAAGAGTAGGTATGAGTGAACGTTTGACCACCATGGTGCAAACGATGCCGTCAGATTAACTGACGCGCGTTGGTTGTCCGTGATCCTAAGGAAGATCAGTGAACTGTCCGATATTCAGTAGCTCAGCTGCCGGATGATCTGGCTAGAACTCAATCACATTTCGTAAGAAGAATCCTTGATCAGTAGAATGTTATATACTGCATAATCGTTACTCCTTCATAAATAAAGCTATACTGTTACAAATTTTAAATTGGTATTTGAGGAAAGAAATTATAATTTTTACGTTGGGAACGAAATAAATAATATTTTAAGACAATTTCGAATCAAAGTAATATAATTAACTAAGATGCCCGGTTGTTATTTCTGACTTTCAAACGGGATTCACTTTTGTAAAAAACTGTAGAAACAATGGAAGTAATAACTTTGACTACTTTTCACGTCTGCTACGACAATTTGTTTTAATCATCATATGAAACCAATAACCTTATTGGTGGCTTTTAAATTCACCTTAAATCTGCATAATGAGCATGTCAGATCAGGACAGTGACACAGAACAAGATGTACTCGATGACACTGTCGTTAATAAGTATAAAATGTCCGCTGAGGTTACAAATGGTAAGTCATGAGAATATTTCCCCTTGATGTGGTTGTCTCAGCGGTTTTACTCGAGTTGATTGGTCTTTGTGTTGATGGCGCTAACATCGTTGAGTTGTGTGAATTAGGTGATAGAAAAATCTGTGACAAAGTATCTCAGCTATTTAAAAAAGAGAAAGAGATGAGAAAAGGTATCATTTTGACAAGTTACCTTATCTGTAAGGTATTGCCTTTCCCACTGCAATCAGCGTGAACAATATGATACGTCACTACTCTCCTATTGAAAATGAAGCATTTGGTCCTATAGAAATAAAAACTGGAGACCTTGTCAAAATGTAATTTATACCTACTCTCAAATATTTTTTCAGTGATGTTGGTGCCCATATAGATGGTTATGCTGCTATAGTCGGACACACTTTTGTTGTTGGTGCAAGCCAGGTAATAAATTAATACTACTTTGCACACTTGGCAGGACAACAAAATCACTGGCCGAAAAGCTGATGTTATACTGGCCGCACATGCAGCAGCAGAAGCTGTCATTCGGCTATTAAAACCGGGAGTGGAGGTTTGAAACCTAAATTGTATGATGTGTCGTCTTTCAGAATCTAAAGGCTTCAGAAATTGTAAGTAAAACTGTTACAGATTTTAACTGTCACGCCGTGGAAGGTAAGACCCACTATGAAATCATTCTTTTCATTAGGCATGCAATGCCATCAAATGAAAAAGCTTGTATATGACGCAGAAAAAAACATTGTTTTCAGTCCTACGGAAGAGCAGAAAAAGACAGTTGAAAAGTGTACTTTCGACATAAATGACGTATGGAATGTGGATATTATTGTATCGACGGGTGATGGCAGACCACGGGAACATAGAGCGCGGACAACTTTGTTTAAGAAAAATGAAACTTTATACCAATTAAAAATGAAAGCCGCACGTCGTTAGTGTATTATTATTTACGAACTGTAACTTTAGAATTATATAGTGAAATTACAAACAGATTCCTGGCATACCCATTTAGTTTACGGTATTTGAAATATTTAATGACCATTATACGTTTTAGTGCCTTTGATGATGTCAAAAGAGCTCGACTAGGTATTTGTGAGTGTATAAAACATGGGGTCATTGAACCACTTCCAGTTGTTTGTGAAAAAGATGGTATTTCTATTAGTTTCAGTTCTATGTTCTAGACGAATTTGTTGCTCAATTCAGGTTTACCGTTTTACTCATGCCTAATGGTCCAATGAAAGTCACTGGGTTGACTTTCGATCCTTCTCTGTACAAATCCGAACACAAAGTCAAAGACCCAGAAATCAAGGTATGCAACTTGCTTATTCCTAATAACCTTTCTAGGAACTGCTTTCCCAACCTATTAAGATTCAAAACAAAAAGAAAAAGCCTTTAAAACCAGAATCCGTTGCTAAAATTTCAGCGTAGAAATCTTGTACTGTTTGACTTTCAAATAAAGTTTGTCGTCTAAAATAGTTCATTTTTTTATTCATTGGGTCAGGTTACACAGTCTGCAATCGATATTACTGGCTAATGTTCAACTTCTTATGCATACAAATACCTTCAGTTTCCTTTCAATCCAGTATAGTAGTAATCGTTTTCACATACTTTCATGTACATGTACATGTAAGTTGGCTATAGATAGTTTGTTTTTCTCAAGCAGGTGGATTATTATAGGTTAACCTATCTGGAAATTTTTTAACCATAATTCCAATCTGTACGTAGGTCTGTAAATAATCTTAGTCAAATCTTCTTGTGGCTACTCAGTTAATATCTGTCATTATTCTCTGCCTTGTCCAAATTAACTTCCACACTCGCTGTAGGCTTTAAACTTTCTTAGTGATTCTAACCAATAACTGCAATAATTTGAGGAAAGGAACGGTCATTTTAAATATGAAATCCTAGACATTATGTGGTGTGTTTGACCATCTAATGCTCATTTGTTAAACACCCAGTTTTCGACTAAATCATTAACAATGAGTTACTTGCAAACTTTCCTACTCCTCTAGGTTGCACTTGTGTTCGAATGCTTTCATATGACAAACTTGGGATTCACAGTGATAACCATTACTTGGATTTAAGTAGAGGGATTCTGGCTGTCCATGTCTGGTTACTCATAAACACTTATTGGTGAGCATAATTAATTTTGATGCATTCCAGTTTTATCCTAGTTTTGTTTCATTTGTCTAATTGACCATGTGGGGAGTATCTAATTTTACAACTAATATTGGTGAGACTTATGATGCGCTACATTCCTACATGATAAAATGACGCAGGCCATTATTTCCAGGATGCTGTCAACGTAAAAACTCCCAGACTATAAGTGCAAAAATCGTTTTGACAGTCAACCTATTGGACCATCTATCTAAGCGTCTCCAACCTCTTAAGTCCATCGGGTATGATTGGTCTGATGGTCAGAACCAATTTGCACCGTACAGTTACAGAACAACAGGGAATCAGGGTTCTCTTTAAAGTCTATCAAGCCCGCCAAGCTTCCATTCATACAAGATTCGTTACATTAAATGCTAATTAGTGTGCTTATGCAACGAAGTGAATGACTAGGTAGGGAATATTAGCACATGTCAACTATTTTCTATATTAAGGATTATCAGTGCTATAGAAGCGGGAATATGCCAATATCTGAATTCCAATTTAGAGGTTGGATTTGTAACTTTCCAGAGGATGATTTACTGGGTCCACCTCTTATTATACGCAGATAACAGTCCTATTTAGTGGAGATTCTGATATCATGAGGTTTTCTTATCATCATTAACTATGCTATGATTCTTTGAATGGGCACTATGTATTACTCTGTACAACATGGCCTGTGTATGTAATACATTCTCAGGCTCCAGGTTTGTGGACATATATTTTTTAAAAGCGTTCGCGTTCTATGGAACGAGTAGATAAGCAGTGTTCAAGTCGAATACAGGTTGCTAAGTAGGAAAATCAAATCAGTTTATGAGGTAGTGGATTTTCCTTAAGTGAGGTGACTGGGATATTTGCTACACACATCCAACCACTATCTGCCTCGACATGCGATACTGACTAGATTAGGTAAAACCAAAGATATGCGCAACCGAACAAAAACTTGACGTTGATCGATAAGATCTCTAAGTGTTGGTCTAAGCCATACTAGTGTAGGCAGACCATCTGATAACATAGCTTAAAATGGTATAGATCCGTTTATTATTTATCTTCCCTTGGATCCTGAGTTCTGTTATCTAGTATATGTATTTCCATTGTTTTCTAGAACTGAGCTGTTAATGTTTATTCTTCATAATCATTGTTAATGTAAGGAACATTTTATCCTAAAATATGTTTTATGAAGAAATCAATTGTAAGGCCACAGCTCATTCAATTTACTTTCATTGTATCAAGCATTTTAGTGTTATTATTTGTTCATTTGAATTTTGCTCACTATAATGTTACTTGATATTAATTTTGTGTAGCAATTCAGTTACTAACAGTCACTGAATATAATCCTAATGTATTGGGATGAATTCGAATGTGAATTAATATTTTTGGTGTCTCTGTTAAATGAGTATTTTTTACAAGACTTGTCATCTGGAGTAACTGCGGTTACGAGGAAAGGGTACAATAATATCATAGTGTTGAAGTGAATTTGATAGTTATCCCTGTTATCACAGGCATTAGTTCAACTTCTTTGATACTTATTAATCTGATAATTGCTAACCTGCCATTTTTCTGTAGCATTTTCACGATCATAATTTATAATGACTTTCAAATACTTATCTTCATGAATATTGAGAATGATATTTACAAAGGTTTGTATATTCCCTTATTGACGCTAACTATTGCAAATGACCAGTCTCCTTTGACATATGTTTATCCTAAATGTGTTCCGTCAGTATTGCCATTAAGTCACAAATCATTTTTTAAAAACGTTCGGGTAATGATTAGCAGTGGGGTTCAGGATGCATGTTCCATTCCATCCAGGGATAATCGGCTAGTTGTACTGTAATAATTAGGAGTATTTGGATTATTGTAAAACTTAGGAATTCCAGAAATAATGCAGTTTAATTAAGAAGTATTAGATGACCAGGAACGAACGTATCGTATTTGGAATTCGAAATCAAGCAGTCATCAAGTACAAATGAATTATTAGTTCATGCAAACACCACATGTACTTACATTCCTATTGTTGACATTCACGCTACGACTCGTACCCGTTGTTTTTTACCATGAACGCTAATACGTTATCTGTTGAGTTACTAGGTCCACATAGCCACTGGCTTGTGCAACCGAGATGAATTTTATTTATAAGAGTTTGTATCTTGTTGTTAAGGTTTAAAATTAGTCCCACTTCAATAAAATTCAGAGCATTAGTATGGGTAATTAAATAACGATCTGTCAGTTGCCACCAACACTTTCATTACTGATTCAATTCATCTGGAATCGCATTTGGTTACCTATAAAACTGCCCTTTAAAATTAATCACTTCTTAGTAGGGAATCTGACTAGTCCTTACCACTTTCCTTTTTCTTTACCAAGAACATCATCAAAGCTTTTTAAAATTTAAAACTATCTTCATCTTTTTTAAGAAATGACTTTGTAATTAGAAGACTTTAGTCTCAGGTTCGAACTCTATTTCGTGTAATTCTATTATAGAACGCAAATGGTACGTCATGACTTGAAGCGGTGCATATAAGACGATATTTGGTAAATAAGTCAAATCAACAAATTTATAGAAAAACTGTAAATTAGGAAATTATTGTTAATTAAATTCTAATAATTTACTTGTAACGATTTTGTATTTAACTGCAAAACTTTCTGTTGTGTATTTTTCTACACCCATTTCTAATGAGTCCGTTAGCCCAGTTATTGTCTACGTTATCGATAATTTGATCAATGATCAGTGAAACATGGCCGGTTAGAGTAGAGGATATTTGTAGGTTACTAGTATTCGAATATAGGTGTCTTCGAAGCATTGCTCGTAAGTAATGCAGTGGTTAGGAAACGGGTACTAGGTAAGGATGGCGAATCGATTGATGAAGTAGTGAATCTTCATCAGTTGAGATGGCTGGGACACGTGTTACGTATGCCCAACCACCGACTGCCCCAACGAGCGGTGTTTCATGGTGTAGGAGTAGGTTGGAAGAAAGTTAGGGGCGGCCAGACCAAAACGTGGCACAAATCCATGAAGACATCGACAAGTGGACTGAGCCATGTTGGTCGGTGTAGACTACCTGGTTGGGAGTCGCGAGATGATAGCAACCGATGGTTAGAGACCTTGAATGACATGGCTGAAAATCGTTTGGAATGGCGCAGGTGCATCCACACTTTGTGTTTACCGAAATTCTAATCTTCTGAATTCTTCATGTCCCTTTCCTTTTTCTCTTTCAAAATTTATTTCACTGGATTATACTCCTTGAATAACATCTTCAAACCCTAATCTTTCCGATTACTGCTTATACTCTTACTACCTCGACCACTATGGGATTTGGATCGACAACTGTATCTTTGTGTTAATGTGATATGGCAACTCGAAATTATGTACGTACATGCGAAGTTCTACATTGTTGCTGACTGACTGAATTTGGTCAAATAGAATTATAAGCTATTAACAATCTGTATTAGAAAAACCAACCAAATGCTTCACTATACTGTGTCACTCAGATTTGTTACTTTACGTGAGGCATATTCGTAAAATACAAGACTACAACACAACGTAAGTTATAGATCTCACCATGTACATAACTAAGATATTTGTAGTGAATAATGCGAATAACGGGTTTGTTGTCAAGTTACAGGAATTCACGAACGGTAAAACATATAACAACAATTATTGAAGGCAATAGAATCTTACGACTGGGGAAAAATGAAAATCTCATAAACCAGTTATTTATTAAATATACTTTAGAGTTGTGTATATTGACTTCCCAGGGTATAGCTTTTAATGATTTACATCTTCATTTATTCCCTTCAGTCGAACATTTATATAACAGTGTGGATGCGTGTTGTAGAGCTAATATAGATCTTTGACCTAGAAGTTCAATCCACAAGACAGTAGCGCAGCTTTGGGAGATGCAATCCCATGGTAGTCGGTGACTAACAATAGGTTCATATGCCATTTGTTTCTTTAGGATCCTGGAACACATGTGCACCAGTGACTTGGAATAATGGTTTTCTAACTCCCCTAGAGGGATCCTCCATATCCACCGATCCGGTCAGAGTACCGGATATTCGCTTTTCGTCCTCTTAATTTCCTAAACAACACCGTCGTCTCAAGAAGGCAATAGGTAGAACTTCCCTGTCAGAATAAGGTAATTTTCTAGCCCATACTGCCGTCCTTCATTGTTGGTCACGAATCAGGTATCTTGTATAACGTGCTCCTGTCGGTATATACTGCATCGATTTAGTATCCTGTTCGCTGGTAGCTTAATTTCGGTCACTGGTCAGATTAT